TGAAAAAATTCACAAATTCGATCACCAACAACAAGGTTGCTACAAATACTCCCTGACTTGTGTGTGGTCTCACCGATACGATGCTATAAAAACCTAAACCCAGAATCCCGAAGACAACAACGTGTCAAACTGATCTATAGTATAAGAACAGAATTAACATTGACAAGAAAAACCAAACCCCCAAAGATGAAACCATCGACCTAGATTTACTTGTGAACCTCGATTTGAGAACAGATGAGACCACCTTTAGGAAGCTAGTTCTGTTAAAATCATAAATTAACTGTAAGAAATCCATCAAAAATCTTAATAATTATGCAGCTTTAGCCTGCTTAAATTAACACAGTTAGAGAGCTCTGAATCGTGCTGTGGCAATGCTGAAACCTAGTATATATAAAAATTGCGCTTTGCAATACAAACAGCTAAATTAAATGCCAATAAAATATCGGAAGGAAATTGATGAAATTTGCCCAGTGGCATCAACTGGGCATAATCAACTAAACACACCTTTGATTGTTCGATCTTATGACTATAATTCAGAGTATACTTAATCTGTCATGAGAAGAAACGCTGACCATGATCAAAATTTTACTTCACGATCAATACTCTGATATTCGTCGTAGTCTACAATAAATCACGACAATAGGAGTTTGGAGAATAATTTTTTATCAGTTATCCTATCTGGAGATTTGAACTGTAAACATCTCAGTTGGAACTTCAGATTAATCAACTTCGTTGGCAGAACATTTTGGCAGTGGGAGCCCCACAACCTTAACATCTCTCATCTTGACAACTGCATACAAACTCAAACTCAAACCTGGCATTGGATCACAATCCAGTGCTGGTGTATTATCACGAAAGACACGTATAGAATGTTAAACGGTTTTTATAAAACTTTGAACTTGACGAGTTTTATACCCTAACCTGCTTTACTTTTCAAGTTTAATTAAAAGAGAACCGCATCCAACGCTCATCAAATGCTCGTAGAAGTTTATGGCAATCTGTTGTTCCAATACCCAATACTAGAGATGTCTAGAGACTCAAAACATAAAAAGACAAAGAATGCAATCAGTATAGGACAAAGATGACACCCAAATACAAAAGCTGTACTAACCTCAGCAGCAAATCTGATTTTGAAAATTTTATTTAAATTCGAAGACAAACATTTTTAATGACAATGGTGGATTTACATTTTTATGTAATATTTTGTCCATAAACGTGCATAAAGCTTATAGCATATATTATATTAATCTATTAAAGTTCCCCTTATTTCAAGAATTGTTTCGAAATACAGCAAATGCATAATCTTAAACGTAAAATTGGTATTTTAAGATATATTAATGATCTCAAATTCCTTTTACCACTCAAGCCTGTAGTATTCGTTTTCGAAATTCGGTTCAAACTTTAATTCAACAAGAATATCCTATTACTACAATTTGCCTCCAACTTTGGAAACCTGATGGTGTCGTCGTTATTTAAAAAGTTCTCAGCAACCCAACTGAAAATCAACTTTGAAACTTCCCCATCTTTGATCTCCAAGAGCTAGTGCAATCTAATTGAAGCAACTTTTTGAAGTATTTTTTCGTCAAATGTATCTGAAGTTGTTTAAAACCGTTATAAAACCAAAATTTACAATCGTAAGCAAAAAAAAATCAGAAGCAATATTGCTTGCCGCAAGATCACCATCAATTCCGCTTAAAAACAATCATAATCCCCGAACAGATCCATAACTCGTAGTCGGAACGCTTTTTTTAAACGAAGTAGGTGGACGTTAATTCGCTGCTGAATTTTTTTTTCATCCTTTGTCAGCGTGCGCGATGCCAAAATCCTCTTTCGATATCTGTAAGTTGTAAAGTGGCTCGCGCTTCTTCTCTTTGGAGACCGCACGACTGCTTTAATATTTCCTGATATCCAGCAGTGTCTTCCATTACCAACTTTAAGGCTTACGGCTCTTTAAAGCGCCAATAAATCATCACCGGAATATGAATGGAGTCGTTAAGATTCTGTTCGGTTCGGAATTTTCTTTGCTTCGGCCCAATGCGTAATGGATTTCTTCTGCATACAGTTCAGTTGCAATTAGAGAAAACGATAAAGTATGTTGTTATATATTTTTTTATTGAGTAATTTTGATAATATTATTACTTGAAAAGTTTTTTTAATTGTATTTACGTAACATCAACGTCGTAGTTTTAAGAAATATATATCAATTTAGTTTCTCTCCAATTATACGTGTGCTGCTCGTAGAAAATTCAACGGAGTGAAACGTATTCGTGATGTATGAATCTTTTACGAACTGTAAAGACGATTTTCTATGAATATTACATGAACTCGTTATGAACGGGACAAAATATACATTCGTTCAAACATTGACTTTACGAAATTCAACGTTATCGCGTCGTTCTTTTTAAAAAATCAAATGCATTGTTAATAAAAAGATAAAAATGAAACACTAATAAAATTTTGTTAAAATTTTGAAGTGATCCTCCTTGGGATCCATAAAAAAAGAAAATTTTCTTCAACATCTTATTTTAATCAAACTTGTAATGGGTAACATCCTGTCACCTTTTGGCCGTGCTTTGTGAAAGCGAGATAATTGCAAAGGAAGTTAAATTTAAATGTAACAGGTGCTGCGGTACCAAAGAAAACTACAGGATGCTCGCTCTTCAGAGCTTTTTAACCTTCTTTGAAATACACAATAAGAATTTAATATTTCCAACTTTTACAAAGTTTTCTTGTTCTATATCTACCGAAATGGAAGCTACAGTTTCATTCAACGGTCGAGTGCGCGTTTATAGAAGAGACGCGTTCGTCTCGGAAGCTCATTAAGCTCGGAACATAGGCAAAACGGTTATTGCTGAAGGTTTAACGGACCAAGTTTCCAATGAGTATAATGCGGCTAACAGAACGTTGATAATCCGCCTGTTGCCTTGGAATATAATTGAAATTGAGTAATCTGTGGCGGTTTTGATGCAGCTGGTGATATGCCGCTGTTCAATAAATGGTTCTTTTATGTGTTACGAGATTCCACTAAATGTAATAACAAAAAACGGACTAGTAATCGAAACTATATTACTTCCTGATTATACTAACTGTAGTGTTTTGAGTGCGTACGTATATGCAAATCAATAGAATCAATATTGGTTTTCTTATCTATTTTTTTGATATGAACCTTTCAAAATTTGTTATGTATCCTATTTGAGACTATTCATATTATTTTTTTAATTTAAGTTTATATTGACATTCATGCTTTTGATAAGATAATATAAATAGTTTCTAGTGTTTGTGGATTATATAACTTTTATTTGATCAATATTTTATTTAGTATTTTTTCAGGTATGATTGATTAGAATTGAAAGTATTTTTAAAGTCAATTCTAGTGAATTAGATATGGCATGTCTTGTGGAATGTCAGAAAAACTTAAGTAATTTTTAGTTCAAGGTATAGATTAGATATATTCAGTTAAAGTAACATCCTAATGATAAAGGTAGGTTTGGTATCTTTAGAAGTTGAGAACACATTGCGAGATTTTAGTAAGTTCTTCTGTTTTACTTGAAAGTTTTAACAAGTTTCTGCGTTTTGCGGTCTAATTCCTTCTCAGAGTAATAAGCAAAAATCTACTAGAAGTAAATGGAGAAAATCATAAAATTCAGAAAAATGGAGAGCATGGTTTTAATAGAAAATACAAAATCCGATCATATAATGAAGCATCCATCAAAAGAATTCGATAGTTGAGAGCAATAATTAAGATGAATAACAATTTCACAATAGTTAAGATGAACATGTAGATCACATTTCCTCAGAAGTGTTTTTTGAAAGCATTTACAGAATTATCTCAACATTGACTTGACAAAAAAATGAATAACACTATTCTAACGAAGAACCAACAGTAATTTGAGCCACAAGATTTACGATGTGAAGTAATACTTCGTTTGATTTAGGTTTTCGTTGAAAGCAGCACTTTGGCTATGAAAAATTTATTTCCTGATAGAAATTTATTTGCCAATAGAACAAAGGCGTTATTAGGCAAGATATATGACAATGAACTCGATCTATATAATGACTATGTTGAGTTGGGTTGGGTTGATTAGCTTTTCTATGTAGTTAAACTTTACATTTGGTTTGACCACAAATATAGTCGACACTTTTCTTCTGTTACTTTCAATGCGGTTTCACAGTATAACCATTTACAATAATTAAAACAAACTTTCATTCTGTATCTAAATGCTATAGCACAATTTTGATCAACCTAGATTTCCAAGGTATGCTAAGAACATGTATCCAAAATTACAAACAGAAAACAAACAACCCTTTTTGTATCAATGTATCACTTTGTGCATACTTTGGCAGATAGAATGACTTGAATCCGTATCTGCAAGGTTTATCTGCAAATCTTGCAAATTATTTCTAACTAATCCATTTTGCAGAAGAAAATCTCGAAAAGTTTGCTAAGATTCTAAGATTCTTTCAGAGTTCAAACTCTACCAGAAATTGCTTCGTAGGAAGAAGAGAATATAAATATTCAACACAGAGGTCAAAAAATAGAGATCAAAATAAACACAAAAATTGAATTGAAAAGTTCAAAACCACAAATAAAATAATAAATTTTAGTTTATCAAAAAAAATGTATTCAATTTCTGCTTTTATTTATATTTCGTTTTCATATAAATTTTTAACAGTTGCAAACAAAGCGATGCGAGTTTTTAAAATCAGGTCATAACTATTTCAAAAAAATTCCTTATATTTCCATTGTAAAAATTCTTATAAAATGATCTAATTCAAAACCGAGTTAATCATCATTGCTACAAAGTTATGAGTAACACAAAGATATCAAACTGGATTAAATATTTTAAAGAACATAAACACCAGGTGCGTTCATTTAAGTATTTTCAAGTATACAATTATTATTAATGACATAAGAAACTTTAAAACAGAAATTTAGAAAGAGTTTTTGTAAGATTGCACAATACTGACATAAAGTTTACATCATGATATAAGAAACTTACTGGAGTGACTTCTTGTATTGGTCCACTACTCATCATGGTATTTATTTCGTTATTCTTGAGTACCGGTATAGAATTGCTGCTTGGAGTTGGAGTTACCGTTGGACTAGTAGTTGGATGCAAGTTGATCACACTCTCCTTAGAGCTTTTGTTCGGGGAAATTCTCGCAGGAAAACTCAAAGTTTTCGTCCAATGGGCAAAACTTCGTACCATTTTCTCCGACACGTTAACGACAAACGAAAAAACGTCCGCGAACAGAAAGAAAATAAAAAACGGACCCGATTCACCAATAAAACCACTTTGAAAATGATTATATCCCTTTTGTAATTTTAAATAAAAATTGATAACAAAATAAAAATTCACTTTATTTATTTTATTCACGTTGTAGTCTATATAAAAATTACGTATAAGTCTTTTGAATAGAAAGAGAGTGATACGAACTTTACGCCTAAACGTCTGGAAACGATCTGTATATTGTACGCTTTCAACCTAGCGGCCTTCCATGGCCTTTCTCCCCACCAATTTTGAACGAACAGCTGTTCCCAAAGCTGGAAAGGTACACGATATAGCCAGCATAGCATAGAGTGGGGAACGAAATCTTCTTCGAGGTAACCGGTAAATCGGTGTTTTGTTTTCCACCTACTTTCTGTGGCAACTTTCTTGTTTGTACCTGTTCGTACACGTATAAACTAATGCGTGACCGCGGCTGATGAAGAACGTTTTAAACCTTTAACATTTCGTCTTTTTAAGATATTTACCATAAATTATAGATAAATTAAATTTATCTAGGATAGTAGAGTAACAACTAACGATCAAGTAATTGTAAATCATTAAAAATATTTACAAACAAAACGTGTGTAATTAGAATTCTTTAAATTCTTTTTCAAATAGCCATAAAAACATCTGTAGAACAAATTTTAAGAAGTTAAAAAGTAACAGCTTGTCGTCAATTCTCTTCTGTTAGTTCTTATTGAAAAGGTCATGGCTTAGGATCGTTTTCTATTTCACACAATGGTGGTAAAACCTTAGGCAAAACCATCCTAAAGAACATAACTTTTTTATGTACATTAAATTTGGAACATTAACTAAAACTTACTCATCAATTTCAATTAAATGATAACATAAATATTTTACGGTTTATCAATGTTTTTAATGTATTCATGGTATTCGTGAAGATAGTTATAAAACAATAAGTATTGTAGCCCTAAATAATAGAATAGTTATTTTCAATACGTAATATAATAAATAAATTTACTTGAATATTGTTTCGAATAACATTCAGAACTATGATTGTTCCATAATTGTTTAATGGAATGGTTAATTAAAACAAGATTTAAAATGTAATTAAATGCTGCACACATTTTAAACAACCCACCCAATAAATTGAGCAAAACATGTCTTGTTTCAAGAGGAACTGAACTAATTATCATTGAATTAACCGCCATGCATGGCTTCTCTTTGTAAGCGATATACACATGTACACTGTTCACAAATAGTTGCAAACTTTCGTTCTTTTATTCAAAATTAATGTTAATATGATGAATCTGAAATATAGCGTTCGAAAAAGTATTTTTGTCACAAATGCTTAATTAGGTATAAAAACAAAATTGGGTTGAAAGAATTATAAAAGAATTATTCTGGGGTTGTTCCATGAAAAAAAAAAAAAACGAGGAAATGAAAAAGTATTTACAAAAAGTTTCATTGAATTGTTATTATACTGTAAAACTTCTTATGCAAGGAATAAATCAATCATTTGATTATAATGAAATTATGGAAAATGTACAATTTTAATAAATGATAGTGTTTTTGCCGGTTATTTGATCAATTTACCTTAAACAACACCCTTTATAACTCTATACAATAATAAAAACGGTGATAAGATGTTTTGACAAACCAAAACCAATTGTTTCTCCAAAATCAGTTTTCGCGTGAATAATGAGTTTCGAGCAAAATATGGCCAAAAATAATATCAGGGAAAAAACAGAGAAATGAACCTTAAAATGAGTTTTTTCGTCATTTAGTATAGTTAGAGTCAATAGATCTTAAATTCGGTTCTTCTTTCGTAAGCCATATCTTTGCAGGAATAATTAATGCTTCCATGCTGTATGGCGTATTATGTAGTTTGTATAGGAGAACGGTCATTTCGGCGAAATGTGCAAAAATTTCTTCTTGATTTTAATCACTCGGAGAACCGACCTCAAGATTATTACCTCATTCATACTAAATTCCGATTATTTCCATCGTAGTGACTATTAGGTGGTTAGTATAAGATACTACGAGAGCTTGCAACAAATGTGTCTGTACAATTTTTTCTTTCACTCTACACTTTGCGCTAACAAATGACGATTCCTCAGTTCAAAGGAGGATGTAGAATATTGTAATAATATTCTATCCTTCTCAACGGAACTATTAATAAAAAGATGATATAGAAAACGTTGAAGAGGGAAACAATAGCAGATTTACGACCTCGAAGAAGTTGCCTTGAGTACGAGACAACTTCATCTACTACAGGTACATATGTTTTAATAAACGAAGTTTCGACAAAATTGTTGCTTGATGCAGACCAGCCAGTCCTGACGAATAGAACTGTATCATAGCTATTTAGTAAAGAATACTATATAGAAATGAATGTTTAGTAAATAGTCTGGTTAATACATTTCGTTAGAGTTCGCAGTCAGGTGAGGTATTACCCGTTCTGATGATTAGTTCTCTTATAAACGTCTTCTCAGAATAGTTTGACTGGATATAGAGTCAGTCTCGAAATAGGTTAAGAACTATGCTTATGTACTTCGGTAATGGTGTTGAGGGAAACCCAGTTTGTGTACATTTTGTTAAGATACTGTACGATGATTTCGGAGAGTATGTAGTTAGTAGTTGTAAATACTGCACAGGTGCATGTAATATTCGAAGATTTTTCTTGTATGTTCCGCAGAGTGTGGACCAGGTCTATATTTGAGCGACCTGACCTAAATCAACATTGGTATTTTATCAGAGTACGTTAAGAGTAAGCTTCAAGGCATTGGTATATTATGCCTGATAGCACTTTGTAGGTGGTATTAAACAATGTGATGTCTCTATAGTTATTACAGCTTAGTTTCTTATATATAGCTCTCTTATAGGTAGGCTGAACGAGATTTGCTTTCCTCTCTTCTGGAATTTATTCATTTCTCCATCTTTTCTCGTAATGCTTTCAATAGTTCAGTAGCTACTGTATCATTTTCAGAAACTTTGTAACTCTTTAACTATCGCACTATTACAAGACAAAACATAACACATAGATGCAAAGTATGCGGTATGTCGAGTCTTTGAAAAACAGACCTTGCGTAAGATATATGGATCGATACAATGGACCAGCTCATGGATAGTGCACACATAGAACGATAATAAAAGCACAGAGAATAGTTTGGCTAGGAGATCTGGAAAGAATGCACAGGGACAGAGGAGTGAGGAGAATTGTAGAATGAATATTTTTATATTTAAAATTTTAAATTTGTAGCAGATCTATAGACTTCAAAGATTTTTGCAAATGATTTGAATTGGCCCATTTAATTTTATGTGGGTCGTTGTCGGATCATACTTTTCATAACTTCGTTCAGTTCAGTTTTAGACGCTGATTATGAGTGAAGGGAATATTGTGTAGCTGTATTTTTGGGTTGATCATAAGCTTTTGATAATGTATCTCATGCTGTTTTAGTAAAAAAATTGTAAAGATAGAACATTTGATAAACTTCTAATTACCGGGTTGCTCTTTGGGCTGTATTGTGATACCCCTCTTGTTTGTCCTTTTTTTGTCATGATTTTTCAAACTGTTTTGCTGATGGGAACTAGGGATTATGGAAGAGTTGCGAATTGCGATTGATAACAAATAAGCTGTCTGAATAAAGAAACAACGGTACAGTGATTGTTGGTGTTGGACCTAGAGTGGCTGTTCTACCCTGTCAGTAAGAATTATTATTATTATTATTTGTAATTCCATATAAGGCTGTGATACTAGTCTATTTAAATTAATTCAGAATTGCTAAATCTGTTTTTAATTACCTTAATTTAAAAATAAATATTGTTTTAAGATACTATTTATTTTTTTGTGAAATAAGATAAGAATTATGTGATTTGAAAATAAAATGAGTTTACGGTGATTCACCGCTGCTTTAGATTGCCTAATTGTTTTGTACATATTTAGAAAATATTTGTGTATTTAAATAATTTTGTTTATTTTATAACACAACGAAATTCTTACAACATTTTAATAAATAGTTTTGAAATTAAACAAAATAAAGACAATCAAATATCTATCGGAACTAGTAATTATGATTTATGAAGTTTATTGTTATGCATTGCGCACTTTTATTCGAGTGAAAACAATATGCAGTTCGATATGGAAAACTTGTTGCTTTCACTTGCATGCTATAATACTACTTGTTATATTAATAGAGTAAATTCATTTCACTTTTTAAAACTCAATTAAAATTTGATAAAGAAAAGAACGTAATCATATATTTTTATTAGAAAAAATTTCTATAAATATTTATTTTGGATTCTAGGATTTCTTTTGAATAATACCAGATTAAGTTTGTTGTTTTTGATGATTTGATAATCATTATTCCTGGAAAATGCCAGACTCGCTCACGCTCAATAATTGAAGCCAGGCTCCATCATTTGCGGTATGTGCCTTAATAATTATTTGTACAGACAGACAGACGTCTGGCGGCGTCTGCAACCGTTTGCGGTATTCAGTTTCCGGAACGACTACTTTCTGGAATTTCAGTTAAGTGGTCAGTAAATGAACTGACGCCTTCCCTATACCATCACGACAACTTTATCACATTTTCAGATTAATTACTGTTCAAAACAAACTTTAAAATTTTTTCAATTTAGTTTATTACGAACACCATAATATTTGTTCTGTTACTATCTTAAGATCCTCCGTCTATTTACCTATTGGGTAAACGCCACCGTGAAAGGTGCTATAATACGCACTTCTCAAAAACAAACAGAGCATTAACCCAGTTCCGGTATAGTTGCTTGTTGCGGAGGAATTGATAACAGACGTGTAGATACACGAAATGGGCAGATAAATTTTTATGAATGGTCCTATTTGTATGCGAAGGAAAGATAAGCGTTAACGACTTCTCAAAAGTCTCTTTTTAACTGACAACGATGAAGATATTTCTTTAACTTTACAATAATGCGGGACACGTTTATGTATAATTCTTTCACTTGTCATTAAAAACAAACGTGCGGTGAGAAGATATAGAGAAAAGGTATGTAATTTTTCTTCGCGGTGAAGGTTTCTGGAAATTATGTTGAGGAATGTTAACAATTCAATATTTTTCATTACACATATGTATAAATTCAAAATGAAATTTATGTTTGTAAGTTATAAGATTCGTTTTATAAGTTTCTTCCTGTTCTTTAATTAGAAAGTTTCTAATTTATTATTACAGCTACTTTAATGATATGAAAATCCTTGGA